CAAACTTTTCCTTTCCTATAACATTACAACTTTTAATTTTTTAATTTTGTATCCCTATATTCATCTGTTTTGTATTCTTAAGTTGAAGAAGGGAAACATTCTCGTGCATAGCGGGATAGCCCACATTTGTGTGTTGCCATATCCTTCACTGTTGTCATTCAACCCGAAAGGATATGCTGTTATCAGCAGTTTGCACCAAAAAGTTCCTTATTAAGTAGTGTTGTTTTATTCTCAGAATAGGGTAGGGGTATTACGGTAGAGCCTAGAACTTCTACCGTAATATCCCTCATACATTCATAGTAATGACTGCTTATACGTATTTATCAGGGCACATCATTACCAGGAGATTTTAGTCGAGTCCGACCTCCCCGAAAGACAGCGCGAAGGAAATACGACCTCCCTTCCCCTAGCTACCACTTTCTTCGATTCTCTCAACTTCCCACCACTTTTTCAGAGTTTTCCCGAAAATATCCCCAGTTTTCCTCAAAAATTTTGCTGTCGAGAGAGAGGGGCGAGGGGGATATACATAGTACATATGAAAGAGGAAAAACCACGAAAAATCGACAACCACTCTCAAAAGGCCAGGAGGCAAATACGACACTCTCTCCCAACAACGACCCCCTCCCCCCTCTATTGGGGTTTCCCCAACGATGGTGTGCCCTTTTTATTATCGACATTCGGTGTAGTACAGTTTTCCGCATTGATAATACCACATGTTCTACGCTTTTTGGTATATTTGCATCTTTACTATTATTACCAGAATTTCTGAGTGTGTAGTGATTAGGCCCTTGCCCAAAGCCAGGTGAGGAAGTGATTTGATGTACTATTCCCAGAATTTTTTCACCGGGATCTAAGCTCATGAGCGGTTGAACCCATACGTCAAGAGCAGTCTTTCCGGAGATTTGGCAGGAGTGCAACCTAGTGATGACTCTCCTTCCTAGGATTACCAGCGCTGGCTCCAAATTGCCATTTTTGACTCGTATAACTTCGCCAGCGCTAGTTCCTAGTTTTATGAGGAAATGTGGCTCTACAATATAAGTGTACTTGTATAGCTGTACAAGTATGATCGTATACAGGGGGGGGGGGCAAAAAAGTCACTTTTCTTCATTGACTTTCGAGGCGCTATAAGTTACACTTTATCAAATTCTGATCGGACATTTTTACCACCATATTGAAGAGCATATTAAGTACTATCACGACACTCCGCCACAGCCTTCTGGACGAGCGCCATCGAGAGATTCTGGCACGCGACCGCGATGTGGTGCCTGAGATCAGCGAGATAGTCGACCGCCACCGTAGACCACCCTATTGAACTCCGCCGAACTGGGTAATTGAGGGGATTCAGGTCAGGTGACCTACTTGGATATTCCATCTCCTTTAGGTACTTGGAGGTGCAGCCCCTTCCATCCAAGTAGGTTCTGAGAGTTCTACTCCAATGCCCTTACCGATTTCACGTGGTGGCCCCAATGCTGGCAGGCAGTACCAAACGTTTCCAAGAAGTACGCGGCACTACATGTGGGACTATAGTCTTCTTGCGTTTGGCTTGATGTAACCGCCAGCCGCTCAGCCTCAGCGCCGGGGTCCACAAGAGAAAGTCTTGGTCATTTTCATAGCTCAGGTAAAGTCCGTCCCATACCATCACTGCCGCGCTCTTGCCGCGACTGCGGTGGAAGATGATGTCCTAGACCGTGGCGACGTGTCGGAGCTGCTCGATGTTGGAGGTCATTCAGATCGAGAGTACTGGTCTCCAGGTAGCTATTCATGGGTGACTCCATACTAGAAGTTTCGCAGCTGTTTGAACGGTGAATATTCCAAAGGTCTTGCTCTTCAGTCAGACTGACGGAATACCTCACTATTTTGGTGTACATGAAGGGATGATGGGCGAGGACGCAGCGTCCTGCTTATCGAGTACATCTTGTATCTTCGCCCCTGGTACCGCCCTACCTTCTGAAACTTTGTAGCTGCTAAATGCATTGGGTGCCACCTAGAGGGGCGACGTGGAATCGAAAATGGGGCCAAACCGCCTCTCGCCGTACCCTGGAATGGAAGGAGGGTACCTGAAGAAGATAGGAATATACAGAGGCACGTCACGGCTGAACTGATCGCGGCGGGGGGGCTCAAATTACCCGTTCGGGCGGAGTTTCAATTAGGGTGGTCTAGCGTGCAGGAGGGGAAGTCGACTACCGTCGCTGATCTCAGGTAGCCACTCGCGGTTCGCGTGCCAGAATGCGTCGTGCGAGGGTGGCAGCTGCTCCGAGAAGCGGTTTTTTAGTGTCGAGAGAGTGAGGTATGTGTGAGGGATAGGTGGGGGTGGTCCTAATATGGTGTCAGAAAGTCGTCGCGATGCAGAAAGAGAAACATGATGTGTTATGAAATGTCAACTTATCGGCCACTCGAAAGTCCATTAAAAGCAAAGTGACTTTTTTTTGGCCCCCCTGTATACTGTCAGACCGGCATTTTGCCTAAGAAATTTGATATGTGCAGCTGCTTTGCGAGGTAATATTGGAAAAAAAGTTTCATTCTAGACTTCTCTGAGTTTTTGTATATTCAGGTGAACTAACCAGCAGGGAAACGATCTTCTTCGTAATTCATAGTAGTTCACGGAAGTTGTTATTCGCACTTGTTCATAAACAGTTCCTAAAACGTTTCCGTAAGCAGCGGCTCATTTCCTTCGGAGTTTCCTAGAAAAAGTCCGTAACGATGTTGAAAGTCTTTTAGCGCAAAACGCAAAGTTGAACTTTTGCTGACGGGTCGATGCAAATTTGATAAGTTTAGGCATTTCAGGCGTTTCGACGGCGAACATACTTGCACGAAATGTTCGTGCAAAATTTCAAAATTGTACTAACCAACCACTAACAGTTTCTCTGAAGGCATTCAGAACATGGACTTAATCTAATCGATGCTGTACTTAATAGTAGCGCTTTGGTTCTTGGAGAGCTTTTTCCACGTCGTCCATTAGGAAATCACTGAGCCGTGCTTCCACTGGGAGGCAGATTCGCATTACAATTGCTGTCCTGGAAAGAGCCAATCCCCAAGGTTTATGGCGGCTCCTCCGAAAATTGAATTTCATGCCTTAGATTTTCGAAACGAAGCTGCTTGAGAAGCCCAGTAGACATGTCAAATCTGAGCAACCTTGGCAATTACTGAAATATTCGGTTGTTTCAAAAGTCTCGCACCACTCTAAAACAATTTCGACTTCGAATGTGAAAACAAGAAGCACCACAATTCATAAGAAAAAAAACTCCAAAGATTCAAGAGGATCCAAAAGCTTCGCAGAAATGTTTGTTTTTATTTCTTCCTTCGAATATTTCGGTGCTTAGCACCTTCCTCAGCGTCCAATACTGAGCTGTCTCCAATCTAAGACTCGACTGGATCCCCGCTGTACCCTAGGTCCGCTGGTGTGTTGTAGCTACCGTTGCTGGAGCTGCGCCTCGAATTGTTGACGAATGAGGCAATTCAAATTTTAGTTAAATGGGCACTCGCCTGGTACTCATGAGGTGAGGTTTGGGGGGGGGGGGAGTCGTGCAAGTCTCCCGCGAGTGCAGGTCACCATTACTCCAATCGGTTTATCTTCCCATGGGAGAGGAAGTAGGCCCTGACATCACTCTGATGATCACGACGGCCGACGAGAACCCATGCGGTTGCATGACCTGGCCGGGAGATTCGTCACGCCCCTGGGTTTGAATCCCGCTTGAAATCAGGTTTTTTGGCCACAACTTAGTATTTCTGTGATACAACTTTATTATTCATAAACGCTTACCAATAAAATAATGGCCATTATGGATTTTCAACGCTTTGTGAGCCTATCACTGCCAAACGTTTGAAAGCCTGAAGCCTGCGAAACGAAAAAGCGCGAAATCTCATTTTGCAGCTCCTGGCAGCTGCCGGCACGGCAAGCCCAACTTTTCTAGGGAACTAGTTGGTTGCGTGATTTTTATCCATTTTCAGTGATGTCTGGACGGGTTGTGCAGAAATTAGCGACTCAACAAACGAATTGAAATTTCGTTACATGATTGGTTACTACCTCGATCCCTGTACCGAAAACAGTAAACAACTGCTTATTGTTCACAGGTAAGGCAATCTTGAACAGAGCGGCGCTAATTATTATAAGAGCTGTAAGAACTATAAAAGTGTCACTAACAAGGGAATGGTTTGAACTTCCCATGGAACTTTGAATGGAGACCTAGGTACATCGATAGAGCCTCGTATGCTGATTTACGAATATGCATACCTGAAATTGTCGACGGAGACTCCGGCAGACAGAGATCTCGGGTGGTCAAATTTGCGGAAAAAGCCAGTTTTGGCTCGAAAGCGCGCTGGTCGAAGCGGCCCTCGGAGTGCCACCAAGTGACCATCGTGATAATGGCCTCGGCTTCGCAAGTCAATATGCATGCATGGTTGCATCCGGTGTTGCAAATGTTTGCTTTCGCTCCCTATAGCAGGCTTCAACCGTCTAATTTTCGAAATTCTTCGATTTCTAGAGCCCAGCAGGGCCAAGTAGATTCAAACACATCAGCACATCCAAGTAATACACGAACGCTACTCGATCTAAAGTATGGATTTGTTAAATATCTGCCGCTCTCTGAATCATTGACACCATCCGACAATTCAAGTTTTGCCTAGAATCGCAATTTGGCCAGACGAGTTTTTCGTCAAAGGATGTGATACTCGTATCCAGGGGGTCGAAATCTCCACATAACGAGTTTGCTCGCCAAAAACTTTGAATCGCCGGATGGGTAATATGTTCAGAGAGGGCAGATATAACCACAATCCATACTAGATCGAGTACGTCGTATACTTGATGTACTTGATCTACTTGTGGCACTGCTGGTCGCGTAAAATTCGAGAATTTCGAATAATTTATAGTTGAAGCTCTTACAGGGAGCCAAGCCAAAAATTTTCTCGCGCCGATCGCGATGGGCAGAAACGCCGTATCGCGGTTGACTTGAAAGCGAAACCAGTTACCATGAGGCCATGGGTGCACTGCCAGGGCATCGATCAGCAGCGCCCTTACGAGCCAAGAGACTGGCATCTTCGCGAACTTTGACACGCCAGATTCTCGTCTGGGAGGGGTCACGTTGTACTTTTAGACATATTTGTTTTCCGAATCAGCATTCGAGGCTCTATCGATGTACCTAGGTTCCCATTCAAAGTTCCATGGGAAGTTAAACCATTCCTTGTAAGCCATCTCAGCTTCTGGCAAGATTCCTCATTTCTCATTCGAGACCAAAAATTTGCGCTTAATTCCGTTAGCTGACCGAAGTTTATCTGAGTACTGTTTATTGCAGATGGAATCCTTCGCGTAACGCACGTTCAGACAGTTCCCTTCACCCCGGCCAAAATTAGCCTAGATTATACGTTTTGGAAATTACGTGAGTGTTAAAATACTATCTGTATATTGCAAAATGTAGACTGGGGCATACGTGCGCGGCTTAGCTTTCAGTGAGATCTCTTCATTTTGATACAGTAGTAGACATGTATTTGTCCAACATAGAACAAGACTGCTGCTGCCTCAAGTTGAAATATCTAACGAGTAGCCCATCCTATACAATGCCACACCTACTCCGTCTCCGGGATAAGGAGTGTACCTACTCGCGACCTGATGGACACCCACCAGCGGAGACAGTTATGGTAGCGGAAGTTGTTCAGCTGGAGAAATTAACACTGATGTTGGTCAGGTCTCAGTTGGGAAACCTTGTGTCCACGTGGTTGTAATATTGTCGTGACTGGGTTGAAAAGAGAGTGCATGAGCTGGGAGGTGTGGACGGCAGCTCACGCGTCATTGGTTGAAACGCATTTGATCAGATCACTGCGGGCTAACTAACGTGGCACGACCAAAAAAAAACATCATCGGCTCGCTAAGCTTTCTCGTTCCACAAGCTTGAAAGGTGGGAAAATTTGGTAAGAAGGTAGACCTGTGAAGAGGCGTCATACCGAGGGCTGAAGGCGGAAGGTATATCAAAAAATAAATTCCTGAATGCGAACATTTCCCTCTGATGGTTCTGTGCTCAATGTTCTTCAGTCAAATATTTTCAAGCTGCGTCTCGCCTCTTCAGCCTACTAGCCTTCAAGGTAATCTAAAGTCAAATGGCATAATCGACAAGCAGGAAGGGTGATACCCTACCGTTTCGAGAGAATAATTATAATGTTGCCAATATTTCCAGCCGGTAGTACGCTTTTAACGGATGGATGGATTATTCATAGTGAAGAAAATGTAGTTCTATTACGGATTCATGGGGAGGTGAGTGGTTAATTATTATCCGAACGAGTTTTGTGAAAAAGCTGTTTGCAGAGGGAAGTAAAAAAGCTATTAGTACAACTCAGCCAAGCCTACGAATATGGCTCATTTTTTAATCTCTGCTTATTTTTGGTAGTAGAAAACAGGATAAGAATAGAACGCCTTCTGGGAATCGCCACTTTTTTTACTCTCGAAATATGCAAAATTTCGTGATTTGTCTGGATTTATAATGTTCACTGATGGCCCAGAAGCTCTGCTTTCCAAGTCTAGCCTGCTTCCATATTTTCAGGCTCTGAAGTTTTACAAAGCTTCCCATAGAGGTAAAGAGCATCGTCTGAAGATAGTACCATTCGACGTGCGCTTCAAAGAGGTTTGTAGTTCATCATTCCTTACATAGTCAAACAAAGTAGTACCCTCCCCCCCTCCCTCTCTCGCCTCCTCCCCCCCACAACCGACAAGCCCTACTTTAACTATTGAAGAACAAATACATAACCAATGTGGGTAACCTCGAAAAAAATTCCAAAACTTAGAAAAAAGTAGGTATTACCTGCAGATTGCTCGTTCTGATGGAATGCTCTTATCTATAAGACCTTGGGGTGACCCTATTTTTGAGGTATAAGCCACGCTTTCACCTTGAACACTGCGAATGCTCCGGATGGAAAAAATGTGTTCTTGGTCCTGATAGTTAACCCTTCGCTTGTAAGATCGAGAGATTTATTGATCCTAGTTTGATGCCGTTTAAAATTTGGTTATAATAATGTCCAAGAATGTATATTTATATATACAATACTTAATGCTTTGAGAATGTTTGAAAAACGTTAGGCATATAGGCCATGCAAAGTGTAGTTGATAACGTCACAACAAGTCGGGGCGTTGTCAGGAAGGGCGGGGTGAGCCCGCCTCGGGTTGCCTTGCTGTACCAACGGTGATCGGTTAGTGATCGATTCAGGAAAAAAGCAATCAATGACAGAAAACGGTCTAGGTGAGCTCGTCCCACCCCTTCTGAAACTGCCACGACCGATGGCGACGTTATCAACTGTAAGTGTCGAAGGATTTATTATATTTTAAATGAAAATAGAAACGGAATTTACAGATTTTCTCATACGAGGATCGTCATACACGTAAGGGCATGCTGTGGAGGGCATCCTCTGTCTACCAAAACACTGTATTCAACATCTCTATCACAACGCTTTGCACATCCATTTCTTTATAAGATGTCGAATGTTGATGACGTTACTGACAGCCAAATCGGTGGACGGGCAAGAGAATCGTAAATTGCCGCTTCGTCGCGCGCGGCAATGGGCGCGACGTTTCCTTGATTTGCACTACCCTTTCGATTGGAGCATCGGATTTCATGTAGACAAGGACATGGTAGACATTATGTCTATTTTTGGTCATACATTGTCTATTCTCGACCAATACCACCTAAAATCGTCGTCATTAGCGGGCGCGACGTCGCACGCGACCCACTGGCGCGGCGAATTACGATTCTCTTGCTACATACCCCGGATCAACTGCGTCGGCAACGTCATCCACTTCCGCCATTCAATTTCCCAACGCCTTTTCCTTTTTCCCATCATGAACGCATGAACATTATCGGAAAAAAATTAGCTTTTTCATACGTCCCTTTTCAAGAGCTATGCATGCGCTCTCTGTGGTGGTAGTGACGTACTATGTACTGCGAATCTTGAAAACGGATGATGGCTTAGATAAGTTGATCTGTTTTAGCTCGAAAGTGTCGACGATGACTGCCTACCTGATCCAGATCCGGTCCTACCTGACGTGCCTAGTTTTTCAAATACTTTGTTATCGGTGAGTTGGTAATAGCCTAATGACACATTGCGTGATTGCGAATCTTGATCGTAGACTAGGAGGTAGAATCTTAATTGGTAAATGTTAATTGACTTACCACTAAACAAAAACAAACCCATTGAAAGCGCTCAATTCTCGGCCCAAGACTCGAGAATTAAGGCCTCTTCTTGCGGACGATATTTAGCATTGAGTGAGAGCGAGATGCGAAGGCACATTGGGCGCGCGGTGGAGATATCAGAGACGAAGGAAAAGAAAACCGAAGAACGAGCTCGACGGCAGGCACGGCCCTACGCAAATATAGTGACGGTCTCACAGACAGTCGTTCTCGCTGCAGCCGCCGAGCCGTGCCAGAGAGGGAGGGGAGGTGTGGGGCGGGGCGTTCAGACCGTTTTCTACCGATTTGTGAGGCGCGTGCAACACAAATAGTGGTGAATGCTCTGCGACAACGCCAAACGAAACCCCCTGAAACGCTTCAGCCTTTTAAACGAAAACTGCTTACACTCCATATCTCAGGATATGTAGAGGCGTTCCTAAATGGGCCCGGCGTCAGCTGCGAGAGTCCAGACGAAAGATAGGCAGAAACGTATAGGTGTAAGAGAAGTGAGTCGGAACGGGAGTGCGCAGCCGTCGCCTAGCGCGCTTGAAAACACCCCCAGTGTGAACTGTAGCCTTTAGCGCA